GGAGGTGTCCAGGGCCTGCCTGTATGCGGACCCAGAGGAGTTTAATTCCGTGTGGCGCAGGACTGGGCTTGAGATTTGGGAGGAGCTGAAGCTCACTCCGATGCTCTTCCTCACCCCGATTGTCATCTATCATTTTGATCCCACTGGTTTCTCAGCGGCTGGGTTTTGAGTTTCACTCCCTCTCTGTGTGTGCCGGCTGCCTGAGGGTGTCACACCACAAAGCTCCTTCTCAGGGCTGTTGGAACAAGGAACACTCACTCCATCTTACCCCCACTCCCGGGAGGCCTTTGAGGAGCAAGTTTGAAACACTCTGCATCCCAAACGCCTGGTAGAAGGGCAGATTTTTGGAGGAAGACTTTTCAGTTTGATGGTCTCCAACCACCGAGTGCCAGCAGTGTTGCCCCCACTTCCAGTGACAACCACAAACTCCCCTATTACTGGGTTCTCTGTAAGCTTAGGTCCATCCCACCTGAGAACAGCAAACTGACCTGAACAGCCCTCTGGCTTGGAGAGGGGACAGGATGGGTTTCTGCACAATTCCCAGGAGCAGGAATGCCATCATCTCAAAGATGCACATCCTTTCCTTGATAACCTTCCCCCTGCAGGTTTTCATGTCACTTGGAGAGTGGCAAGTGCTGTAGACCCTGGAAGTTGACTGCAAGGAGGGTCTCTCTTCCCGTTTCTGAAGTCCTTGAGTTGCAGGTTTGAACAGGAAAGAAAAAGGGAAAAGGCCCTGGAGGCTCCAAGCATTTGAGGACCACGCTGGCGGTTCCTCCCACACCGCTGGAATTGCAGGGGGAGACCCAAACAAAGGTCAATACCAAGTTGGGCTGAGGGACTGCAGCTGCAGGTGAACCTGGCCAGGGCTCAAGACTGATTGTGAGGTTGGTGTTGTCCTGGATGTATGGCTTCTTGGGGCAGGCAGGTCACACACACTGCTCCTGGCTTAGTGTTTATTTTCTTCCTTTAAAAAAAAATAGCTTTTATTGATCCCCACCACACACTTTTTTGTAAGAACTATGCTTATTTTGGCAAGTTTAAAAATACAGATAAATAAAAAGGAAAAGAAAAGCCACCAGCAACTCTTTCATTACTGTGAAGAGTGGGTTTCCCTTATGGATTTTTTTTTCTTATATAGAAAACATTTCATACTGCCCATATATGTTTTATAACATTTTTCTCACCTAGCATCATTTGATGATTGCTATACCACAGTGGATTCCCTGTCTTTATCTGGTAGCCCAGCAGGACATTCCACTTATTTGTCATCCAACAAGTTCTTTGAACATGTACATGCTCACATGTGTGTGTGTGTTATAAGGCTTTGAACCCAGAGGTGCTCCAACCACTGAGCTGCATCCCCAACTCCTTTTTAGATTTTGAGATGGGGAGTCTCACCAAGTTGCTGAGGCTGGACTTGAACTTTTAATCCTTCTGCCTCAGCCTCCAGAGTTGCTGGGATTACAAGTGTGTGTCACCACGACCAGCCTCAACAAATTCTTAAGAAACATCTGTGTCAGGTCCTGCCCTGGGCCCCAAGGAGTAGAAGGCATAAGGACCCTGCCTTTGTGGCATTTACATTTGAATGGGGGACATACCCTACATGTGTACAATTAAAAATATTTCAGGTGGGTTGGAGACGTAGTTCAGTGGTAGAGCACTTACATAGTATGCATGAGGCCCTAGGTTTGATCCCCAGCATGGCAGAGAGTATTTCATATATTGAATGTTTTGTTTTGTTTTTAAAAGAGAGAATTTTTTAATATTTTTTTTTTAGTTTTCGGCGGACACAACAGCTTTATTTGGTGCTGAGTTTCGAACCCAGGCCGCACGCATGCCAGGCGAGCGCGCTACCGCTTGAGCCACATCCTCAGCCCGGCAGAGAGTATTTCAGGCATGAAAATGAAAATGAGCTGGGTGACTGATGAGTGACAGAGCAATGAGAGGGCTCAGGCCAGGAGGAGAGGATGGAGGTCTGACAGTAAGTCATTGATGGGGGGGGGAATCCAAGGTCCTCAGGCCAGAGTCTGGAGTATCACTGTGAGACAAGATGGGTATGCTCAGAAGCCTGGGGACTCCAGGTGTTCCTGCCACTATATGGGTGAATCCTGTGACTGTCAATGCCATTACTCCTGGTGAACATCTCTCCAAAAGGAACTGCTCTCACCAATATGGCCCCAAGACACAGCATGGCATTGCCCCCGTTTCCCCCGCATTCCACTGGGGCCCAGGAGTCATTTGTCTGTAGAGGCCTACCTGCTAGGAGTGGGGAGACTGGCCTTTGCCAATGTGACAGGTAAAGATGGGGTTTCATTTGTGTGAGTTTAATTTTTAGTGCTGGTGAACATGTCTTATGTCTAATTTGCTCTGTTTCTTTATTTTTCTTTTGACAGGAACTTCAAATGTCCCCTGGTTCTTTTATGATCCCTCAGTCAGGCCAAAGGCAAGCATTTTAAGAAATAATTCACGGTCTATAACTTAATCCATATCACCACTTGCAGAGACAACAGGAGGAGTGCTGGCTCAGCCTTGGGGACTCTCTCTGCATCCCACCTCCAGCTGCCCTGCAGGAGCAAACAGGAGGGGCCAGTCCTTCCCTGATGGAGGCATCCTTAGGGGGATCAGGAGGCTCTCTCTTCTATTGATTTAGTCTAGCCTCACTTCTTCCAAGAAGGCACTAATTTGTTATTGTCCCACTCCCATCCCCACACATCATATCTTGGGTGGAAAAATTATTTGCTACTTGACGGAGTGGACCTAGCAGAGACTTTTTGTCAGGAGCCGGTTGCTTGCTGGCCTGCCAACCCTGCCTGCATCCTTCACATCGTGGTGCTGGGAGCTGTTCACTTATTGCTCTGTGCCCTGGGGAACCATAGTGGGGTGCTCGGGCCCTCTACCCAGGCCCTGTGTGCCCCGCTAGCATGGCTCAGGCTAAGGTGACTCAATGGCCTACAGGTGGGGACAGGAAGAGGTTTTTCAATAAGATGCCTCACCCTGTGCTAGGGTAGATACATGTCCCTCCCAAATTTATTTTTTTTTAAGAGAGAGAGAGAAAAAAAATTTTTAAAACATTTATTTATTTATTTATTTATTTTAGTTTTTTGGTGGACACAACATCTTTGTTGGTATGTGGTGCTGAGGATCGAACCCGGGCCACACGCATGCCAGGCGAGCTCGCTACCAACTTGAGCCACATCCCCAGCCCTCTCCCAAATTCATATGGTAAAGTTCTGACCCCCAGTCACTCAGAATGTGACCTTACTTGGAAATAGGTTCTTTGCAGATATAATTAGTTGAATTAGGACAAGGTTATGTTGGAGTAGGTTGGGCCCTAATCCAGGACAACTGGTGAATTTATAAAAAGGGAAAATATGGACACAGGGGAGGCACACACAGGAGAATCCTGTGGGAAAACTGGAGTGACTACCATAGGCCAAGCAACTACCAGAAGTGGACAGTGGCTGGAACAGATCCTTCCCTAGCACCTGTGTGAGTGTGGCCCTGTAGACACCTGGAGCTCAGACTTCTAGCCTCCAAAATTGGAGACACTAAATGTCTGCTGTCTAGGTCTGTGGTCCTTTTTTATGCAGCCCAGGACTCTGGAACACTGAATGTGCCACTGTCCTGGAAAGTGGAGGTGTCTGAGACCATGGTAGGGCCACCGTCCTCCCTGACCCTCAGCAGGGTTGGGACTCAGCCAGTGCATGCACCCATTTTTTTCCCCCCTCTGGCCTCCCAAACTGGAAGTGGCCCAAGCCAACCAGAATGCAAAGGGTTCCACGGACAGTAAGCCCGCCTAGGTAGCAAGAACTGTAGCCAGCCCTGCCTCGCTAGCTGACAAGGGGATTCAGGCTGAAGGTCTTAACCAAGTGACCACAGTCGGCCCTACACAAGCACCCCAGACCCATGCATCTGGAAAGAATGACTTAGTGTCTCCCCATGAAGACAGATGTCCTTTGGGCCTTTACCACCAGCTGGTCACTCTGGAGGGTCTGCAAGGGCCAGTGCTGTGTTTACTCCCAAGGGGACGGTGTCCTCTCAGGGCTGTAGAACTTTACCTGAGTGGGGAAAGGACAGTCATGTGAAAACACACAGGAAAAAAATGAATCCAAGTCGGGTGCTATGGCACACACCTGAATCCCAGCTATTCTGTAGGCTGAGGCAGGAGGCTGGCAAGTTCAAGGCCAGCCCCAGCAATTTAGTGACACCCTTTCTCAAGATAAATAAACGAATAAATAAGGCAGGGGATACAGTGTAGTGGTAGAGCTTTTGCCTAGCATACAGGAAGTCCTGGGTTCAATGCCCTGTGCAGGAGGAAGAAGAAGAAATTCAAGGACAACCACAACAGCAATGGTAGTAGACTCATTTGTTTTGTTTTTTGATACTGGGATTGAACCCAGGGGGATTTAAGCACTGATCCACATCCCCAGATCTTTTTATTTTTTATTTTGAGATAAGGTTTTGCTAAGTTGCTTAGGGCTTTGCTAAGTTGCTGAGGCTGGCCTGGAACTTGTGATCTTCCTGCCTCACCTTTCCAGGTCGCTGGGATTACAGGCCTGCGCCCGCCCAGCAGTAGAAGGTTCTATGGAGGAGAAAAGCAGCGGAAGTGAGGAGCATACACCAGTTGGGGGGAAAGAAGGCATCAGGGAAGCCTTCACAAGGAGTGACCTTGGAGGACAGGGTTAATTACCCAAACAGGAGGTCAGGATGGCGCTAAAGATTTTACACATGTATACACACACCTTTTAGAACTAATAACACACCAGTCTTGGTAGCGCATGCCTGTAATCCCAGCGGCCCTGGAGGCTGAGGAAGGAGGATTACCAGTTCAAAGATCACCAGTTCAAAGCCAGCTTCAGCAAAATCAAGGCGCTTAGCATCTCAGTGAGTCCCTGTCCCTAAATAAAATACAAAAAGGGTTGGGGATGTGGCTCAATGCCGCTGAGTTTAATCCCTGGTATCAAAAAAAAGAAAGAAAGAACTAATAACTTATATTCAACAAAGAGCAGGATACAAATCAACATATGAAAATCAGTCCCCTCCCCATACACTAGCAATGAACAATCTAAAAAGAAAATTAAGAAAATAATTTCATTTATAAGCATAAAAAATACTGAGGAATAAACTTAATCAAAGAAGCAAAAGACTTATCCACTGAAAATGATCAAACATTGATGAAAGTAATTAAAGAAGATGCGAATAAATGGATAGACAGCTTGTGTTTATGGTTTAGAAGACTTAATATTGTTTAGAAGTCAGTCTCTTAAAATCACTCTACAGATTCACAGTGATCCCTATCAAAATTCCAATGATCTGATTTTTAGAAATACATTTTTACAAAAATTTTTTTTTAGTTGTCAATGGACCTTTATTTTATTTACATGTGGTGTTGAGAATTAAACCCAGGGCCTCACACATTCTAGGCAAACACTCTATCACTGAGCCACAAACCAGCCCTCAGAAATATAATTTTTTTTTTTTAGTTGTAGATGGACACTATATTTTATTTTTATGTGGTGCTGAGGATCGAACTCAGGGCCTCACACATGCTAGGCAAGCACTCTACCACTGAGCCACAAACCAACCCTCAGAAATACATTTTTTAAGAAAAAAATCCAACCTAAAAATTCATATGTAGCCTCAGGAGACCCCAACTAGCCAAAATAATTTTGGAAAAGAAGACAAAGTTGGAGAACTCGCACTTCCTGATTTCAAAGCTTACTACAAAGCTACAGTAATCAAAACCATGTGGTACTGGCATAAAAGCACATATACTGGCAAATGAAACATAAGTGAGAGGCCAGAAATAAACCCCCACATGTACCAGAAATCTCAAAAGGGGATCAAATAATTTTCAACAAGAGGATCAGGACCATTCAGTGAGGACAGGGCAATCTTTTTAACAAATGGTTGCAGATATCTGTATTCAAAACAATGAATTTGGAGCATTACCTTATGCCATATAAAAAAATTAACTCAAAGTGTATCAAAGATCTAAACACAAGAGCCAAAACCAGAAAAATCTTAGAAGAAAATATAAGGAAAAATCTTCCTGATATTGGAGTTAGTGACAATTTCTTGGATATGAAACCAAACATTCAAGTAACAATTAAAATAAAATAGAAAATTTGGACTTTATTAAAATTAAAAACTTTTATGCATAAAAGGACATTATTAACAGAGTAAAAAGCAGCTAACAAAACAGGAGAAAACATTTGCAAATCATACATCTAAGAGATTAATATCCACAATAAATAAAAGATCCCTACAACTTAACACCCAGAAAACAACCCAATTCAAGTATGGGCTAAGGATTTGAATCGATGTTTCTCCAAAGAATCTGTAGATGGCCAAAAAGCACAGGAAAAGTTGTCAACATCATTAATCATTATGGAAATGTAAATTTAAACTACAATAAGATACCAACTCAGACCAATTAGGGTGGCTATTACCAAACAAAAACAACAAAACTAAGAGAAAACCAAATCTATGAGTGTTGGCATGGATGTGGAGAAATTAGAACTCATGAATTGTTGGTGGGAATGCACTGCAGCCACTGTGGAAAATGGTCTGGTTAGTTCCTCAAAAAAAAATCACCACATAATCCAGCAATTCCAGTTCTAAAAATATACCCCAAAGAAGTGAATAGACGGGCTGGGGATGTGGCTCAAGCGGTAGCACGCT